GGCCCAAGAGCATTACAGATATTTGTTATTCTTTCAAAGCCCTAGAACAGCCTGACTGGGTGGGCGCAACCTTTGTTAGGCCAGGAGCCAGCCTTCTCTGTCCTCCAACTTGGTAAAGCAACCGCCTTGTTCCCAGAATGCTCCACTCCTCAGCTCTCATGTCCTCCCTCTTCTGCGCATGATGCTGAGCCTTGCTGTTAACTCCTTTCTAGCAAAATGAACCAAACTCTCCCAGATTGTTTCCCTTCTCTCACCACTGCCAGAATACCTGCTTGACCACCTTCAGTACCACTTAATGTTTAAGAACACAGGCCTAAGCGTAAATCCTGACTTTACCACTTAAAAGCTGATGCCATTGGCCAAGTCACTTTCCATCTTAGAGCCTCGGTTTTTCTCTTTTGTAAAATAGAGAACCTGCCTGTTAGGATGAGTTGTTATAAGGGTTAGAGATAATATATGTGAAGCAACTTGGAAAATGCTTAGTACAGTTATTTGGCCTGGCAGCACAGTGTTAACAACTGAGCAGACCTAGGTTGAACTGTGTTGAGTGCAGTGCCCAGCACACAGTAAATGCTCAATAAATGGTATGTGTATGCAGTGTTTGTTGGTTGATTACCCAAAAGGAGAATGTTAAAAGGGTCTGGAAGTCCCTATTCAGCCATATCCATGATCCTGCCCTCTCTTGCCCCCAGGCAGGCAGGGCAGTGATTTCACCTACTGTTTTATTAGTTCTTAATCTGACAATAACAGGAAGAGCTACCTTAAATCTTAGGCCTGCCTAGTAAATAGTGTCTGACCCACACTATGGGAATTATTGGAGACACTGTCCTGGTTTTAGTGGTGGAATGGGATTAAGATGGAACTTCAGCTTTATCAGCCAGGAGTCTGCCATCATCACTTAGCCCTTTCTGAAATTAATTAGAGGGATACTGCTACTGCTGAAGCGTTTGTCCTCTGCCCCCAAATAAGCAAGTAGAAAAGCATAACGTAGTACTCAAAGCTTCTGGAGCCAAACTGCTGTGTGCAAGTCCTGGCTGTCACTTTCCAGCTGTGTGACCTTGGTAAACTACATAAAGTCCGCCTGTGGCTCAGTTTCCTGACCTGTAAGATGGGGATAATAATATCAACACCATAAGTTATTGTGAGGATTAAATGAGTTAACAGACATAAAGCACACAGAATAGAATGCAGTACTCTGTAAATATTAGCTATGATTGTTGATTATAGGCATTGGGGAGCCAGTAAAAACATTTTGTTGCTGTGCTTTTTAGCTTGCTAATTTTAATGTAGCTTTTTTTGTGTGTGTGTGCTTTAAAGTTTATAATTGAAGTTAGTCTCCCATACAAAAATTTATACACACATTGTTACGTGACACTAGTTGCTCTCCCTATACTGTGACAGCACACTCCTCCTTTCCACCCCAGATTCCCCGTGTCCATTCAACCAGCTCCTGACCCTCTCTGCCTTCTCATCTCAACTCTGGACAGGAGCTGCCCGTTTAGTCTCATGTATCTATCTACTAGAGCTAAGATAGCTTGCTAATTTTTAAAACTTTTTGATATAATTTCACAGAAAAATTTTAAGAATATTCTTGTATAAAGAACTTCTGGTTCCCTTTTCTCAGATCCACCAGTTGTTAACATTTCCTCTCATTTGTACACACTCACGTGTGCATTCTTTTACCTCCTCTCCTGGACACACACACACATTTTCTTTGAACCATTTGATGTCTAATTTATACACTTCATACTCCTTTATTCATACATGTTTGGTGTGTATTTTTATAAATAGACTTTTTCTTACAAAACCACAATACATTTATCAAATCAGGAATGATAACATTGATACAATATTGCTATCTAATCCATGGTTCATATTTCAATTTTACCAGTTGTCCCAGTAACATCTTTTATAGTTCTTGATTTTTCCCTGATCCAGTCTGAGACCACAAATTGCAATTCGTTATCGGGTGCTTTTAGTCATCTTTAATCTGGAATGTGAGACTTGACATTTTTGAAGAGTATAGGCCAGTTTTTTTGTAGCATGTTCTTCAGCTTGGGTTTGTCTTATACTTCCCCGATTACATTCAGATTATACATTTTTGGTGGGAATATTACAGAGTGATGTAATTATCAGAAGGCACATGATGCCATTTTGTCCTATTAGCAATGTTGCTAATTTTCATTACTTGTTGTTTTTGTTCACGAGGTTAATCCATTGTACCATTTTCCCTTTTGTAATTAATAAGTAATTTGTAAGGAGATACTTTGAGACAATCTAAATATCCTGTTACTCATCAATCAGACTTTTACCCATTAGTTTTAGCATTCATTGATAATTCTTGAATGAATAAGTTACTCTGATGGTTGTAAAAATGGTGATTTTCTAATTCCATTATTCCTTCTACATTTATTGTTATTCTCCTGTAAGAGAGAGCTTTACCTTCCCCCCACCCTCCCATTTATTTAATTATTTATATCAGGATGGACTCATAGAGTCTTATTTTACTCCATAAATACTCTGTTACTATCATTACTTATTTTGATGCTCAAATTGTCCCAGATTTAGCCGGTAGGAGCCCCTTCTAACTGGCTGCTGTGTCCTTTTAACATGTCCCCATTATCTGTGGAGTGCTTCCTTGCTTTATGTCACAAGAGTTCCAGGCTCTTGTTATATTTTCCCTGCTCCAGTTCTAGAATCAGCAGTTTCCCCAGGGAGTCTTGATTCTTTTGAGTGGAGAAAGAAAAATGTTTGTTTCTCTATCAAGGGTGTTCTAGCTGAGAAAGTTTCATCTCAAAAGAAACTAGTCAGCTCTCCTCCCATCAATTCTCCAGGCAGGGCAAAGTTCATTCAGCTCCACACTAGAATGAATGGGCCACCATCTCCTTCCAGAGTGTGTGACCCAGCACTCTCGTGCAGTTTACCTGTTTTGGAAAGATGCTGAGATGTCAGGGGCCTGAAGGAGTAGATCAGTGATTGCCCTCTATGTGAGAGCCCAAGAAAAGATCACCTCAGCACCCTTCATCACAGCTTTAAAGTAGTGAGAGTTTAAAACAAAAAAGTGAAGTTGGGTATCTAAAAACCTCCTAAAAATGAAACTAGTTACTTATACACCCACTCCTCACTTATCCACATGGTTTGGTTCTAAAGACCAGATTATGCAAAAATCAGCTTTGTGCAAAAATGGAGGATGACTACATTATATAACTGCCAAATCACTGAGACTCATGACCCAGCCAAGTTGATACATAACATCACAGCCAGTGTTAACTCTAGCCTCGCACCTCGGCGTTTGTTACTGCCAGGTGTACGTCATTAATGTGCAAAATCATCAGATTTTTTTTTACTATTGTCATAAATGCAAAATGTCAGATAACGAAATAGTCGATAAGTGAGGAGTCCGTATAGTTACCTCCCTCTTCTGTTAACACGTGTTTATGTATAATACTTAACAGCTCACTCAGCAGCCCAAGGCTGTTTATGGCATATATGATTCATAGTGGCATAAAAAACAAGGCCTGTTCCCAGACAGGCATGCTTGAAATAGACCTTCTCCTTCTACATCCCATCACCTGTGGTCATGTATTTATTTGTCAGCTTTGGTGACAAAGCACTTCAGGTAGTCCCCAACACCAGGGGCTGTCACCTATTGCTCCTTCAACTAGACTTATTCCTCCTTACTAGGCAGGCAGCTAAATTTTCAGTATTGATTGCAGGTCCCATTCTGAGAGTAATCATGAAGAAAAGCACAAGGTAGCAGCCCTTCTACTGGGACAGTATTGACTGAGGGGGAGGGGGGATCCTCCTTGTTATAAGGAATTCTAAAGTATCCTATCTACTGAATAAGGTACTGCATGCTTATAAGCTCAGTGATCCAAATGGGGTTTGTGGACTGCCTTTCTCTTTTTCTCCCCCTTCCTTCTTTTTTCAGCCTAAGAGCTAGAATGTCTTTGTTACTCTGGCCAAGGGTTGGCTCAGTAAGCAGCCCAGAAGGGAGGATGGGGGCCGGCTAATCCACTGAGTTGACATGAGACACACCCATCTGGCTCTAGTTAGATGGATTCTACTAATCTGAGGTTGTTGTAGTTGTTGGTTGGCTCTGACTCATGGTAACTCCCGGTACAACAGAATGAAAGGCTGCCCAGAGTGCGCCGTCTCTACGGTCGTTGGTATGCTCGATGGTATCATTTCAGCCATCGTGTATTTTGAGTGCCTTCCAACCTAGGGAGCTCATCTTCCAGCACTATATCAGACAGTATTCTCTTGTGATCCATAGGGTTTTCATTGGCTTATTTTTGGAAGTTGATTGCCAGGCCTTTCTTTGTGGTCTTAGCGTGGAAGCTGCATTGAAACCTATCCACCATGGGTGACCCTGCTGGTATTTGAAATACTGGTGGCATAGCTTCCAGCATCACAGCAACACACACGCCCCCACAGTACAACAAACTGACAGACGAGTGGTGAAGTTGAGGTTAGGGGTGTCCCAACGAGACATTAGAGCTTGTGGAGTAATGCAGCTCACAACTTGAGGAGTTATTCAGATCCTTACTGAGTTTGGCAAGTATCTGGTGTGGACATGGGGAAACAAGAGCTGCTGGTTTCTGCTCAGAGGCATAGAGGATGCTCTTCTTCCACATCCCACACGTGAGAGTCCAGCCGCTCTGACACTGGCCAGCAGTGGGTGGGCATGGTGCCCTGGCCTCTCATGGGGAAGAAATGCAGGGTTCTAGGTGGTTGTTTGAACCTGCTCATTGAGAGGCCTGGGGAACGGAGGGCTCCCATGACTGCTTTCATAGTTGTGACTTCCACAAGGAAAAGAGGACACATGGGCTCTCTGAGGCAAGGTGAGGACAGATCTGACATCTCCTGTAGAGTCCTGTTACTCAGCAAAGAGGCAGTGAAGACAATGGAGAGCCAGGCCACAGAGGGAAGGGCACTGGGGTGGATCCTGAGCTTCCTGGTCATCACAGAGTGTGACCGGCAGGTTTATCTAATTGCAGAGACCTCAGAGCTAAGCCCAGCTGAGCAGAAGGAGCTGGACAACAAGTTAAAGGAGCGGGAAGAATTTCTAATTCCCATTTACCATCAGGTAGCTGTGCAGTTTGCTGACTTGCACGACACACCAGGCCGGATGCAGGAGAAGGGTGTTATTAACGTGAGTACAATGGCTGCCACTTCTTCTGACTTGTCAGGGACCAGCAAGCGAACATGTGTGTGTGTGTCTTATGCACAGGAGCTCACAAGTAGGGAGCTGTTAGGGCTGGACGAAAACAGCTTGTGCAGATCCAATCACTTTCAAGTTTCCTGAGAGAGTTTCCCCCTTTTTTCTATCCATTATCATCCTAAAACAATTTATGATTTAGGTTTCCATAGACTCCTCAGTAGGCAAGCTCCATTTTACTGGTGGGAAACTGAGTCCCATGTGACTTCATTGGCAGCAGCTTCCCAGGTGGTTTTCAGGCTGTAGATTATTATTACACTGTCAAAGTTCCAGCAGCAGCTAATTCACATTTGATCTACGTTCAAGTCGTTTGAGCAGTCTGCTCAAAACCAGTTACTCACTCTGGTTATCTGGGAAGTCACAGGCTTTTCCCCAGAACATCTCAGCCATGTGTGTGGTTGGCATTAGTCAGGTGCTGCAGTCAGCTCTGTTGGTAGGGCATGGGGGTGGCAGTTCTGAACTGATGATAAGTCTGGAGGTGCTTGAAGCCAGCTCTTGAGTCTCTGAGGGGCCTAACTGGAGAGCAGGTTTTTGTCCCTATGAGAATCCCTGTGGACTGAGCAGGGATTAGGGCTGGGATGACTCATCTTATTCTTGTCTTCACGTAGGACATCCTGGACTGGAAAACATCCCGTACCTTCTTCTACTGGCGGCTGAGGCGTCTCCTGCTGGAGGACCTGGTCAAGAAGAAAATCCACAATGCCAACCCTGAGCTGACTGATGGCCAGATCCAGGCCATGTTGAGGCGCTGGTTTGTGGAGGTAGAAGGAACCGTGAAGGTAGGTGGGGCACCCAGCCTCTGTGCTGTGCTCCTCACCCCACCTGACCTACTGTCCGAGAATCCAAGCCTCTAGGCGATTGGAGTGGAAGGGAAGCATATAGGCCTGAGCCCTACTTCCCCCCACACAACCTTACGCCCCACGTAACATGTCAGGACATCTTGTTAGAAGAAGTGGTAGGGCATTTTTTGTAGTTTACCAGATTATTCAGCAAACCTTTTTTAAAACACTTGTTACATGTCAGACACTCCATTAGGCCCTGGGGTTATGGCAGTGGAACAGGCAGGCCCTGTGCACACAGCACTCACCATCTAGAAGGGAGACAGAGAAGTCAAGAGGTCACGTGTGACAGTGAGGTCAATCCTAACAATGCAAACCTGGACATCGTGGAACACAGGGAAAGGACACCAGACCCGCTCTTTGGGAAGGGGAAAGGAGAGTCTGGGAGGAATTCTGGAGGAAGTGATGTCTCAGCAGAGACCTGAAACAAAGTAGGAATTAACCAGGTGAAGAGGTTGGAGTGAGGGGAGACAGCACGTCCCAAGGCCTGAGAGCAAGAGTATCATGCACCCAACGAGCTGCAAATATGGCTCAAAGGTTGGGTGCCGGGTAAGAAGATGTGAGCAGGGCCCAGTCATGCAGGGCTGTGTAAGCCGTGTCAAGGAGTTTTGACTTTGTCCTGAGGTCCGTGGGAAGCCACTGAGGTATTTTAATCAGCAGAGTGACATGGTCTGATCTGTGTTCTAGAAAGACCTCTTGGGCACTGTGTGGAGGGTGGAACTGAAGGGGACAGAAGCAGGAAGCCTAGCAGGAGATGTGATGAATAGAACTAAAGATTTTCTCATTTCAAATCAAAGCTAGAAGGAGTGTCTACCCTGCACGTGGGAAACTGAATCTGGGGTGATCAGGGTGAGTGCACATACCTTGGAGCAGTGACCCCTATGAGATGGTTTTCCTGGTGCTGTCACATCCAGGTAAGAGATGGGCAGGTCTGAGGCCAGGACGAGGTAGCAAGGGCACCAGCTTCTGGTGTAGCAAGAAGAATGGCATCCACAATCAATGGGAGTTTGCAAAGAAAATATTTTTTTTAACTAAGAAAAAGAAAAATTAAGCTTTATTAGTAGTATATGGATTAAAAATGAATCATGTATACATTTAGTTGGAATATTGGCAGTATGTGCTCAGAATATTTTTGTCTACTTTTCTGCAATTTGGTGACTGCTAGGTTAGAGTGGAGCCCGGGGGGCAAAGTGGTTAAGAGCTCAGGCTGCTAACCCAAAGTTCGGTAGATGGAATCCACCAGCTGCTCCTTGGGAACCTTATGGGGCAGCTCTGCTCTGTCCTTTAGGGTCGCTGTGAGTCAGAATCGACTTGATGGCACACAACAACAACAGATTAGAGAACTGATGGGCTGGATGGCCGGAAGTGGCATGAAGGGTCCTGACCCATGAAGGGGGGGCTCCAGCCTCTTCCTGGCAAGTGTTGCCTGAAGTCTCTTCTGTTCTCAGGAAGGAATGCCAAGATTTGCCATCAGTTTGAAAGCCAGTGAATGGGTGCGTCTAAGATTCACCTTTGTGTTAAGTCTACCCGTTTCTTTACGACTGAAAAGTTTCTTTGGATAAATATTTCAGATGTGCAGTGGGGGAGCTCAGCCTTATGCAACATTTGGTGCAGGTTAAGGTCAGTGTGTGGCATCATAATTGAGTGAGACAATTTTGTCAGTGGCTAGTGGCAGCTGGCACTGAAAGTCACGCAAGCGTAAAATAAGAGGTTGTTCTCCAGTTCAGAGTGGCCGGCTAGGTCAGCTGGGGTTGGGGGGTGGTGTGTGGCCGGGAAAGGCCTGTACTGCCTTCCCACCACGTTAGTCACTAATGGACGTGCACGGCCCCAGTGGGCAGAGGAAGAGGAGAAGTGAGCGTGAAGTGAGAGTAGAGAAGGCCCCTTCAGTGGCTTCTTAGCGTCCTGCTCCCAGGGAGACAGTGTGTCTGAAGAAATAGGTCATTGGCCATCTTATCTATGGAGAGAACAGTTGCCTATATGTGCACAGATGCCAGGCCTGAGATCAAGTACAGATGTATCGGAGGAGACTGCCTAAAGGCACCGGGAACCAACCACACTGAAGAATTGAGGCTATTTCCCTTGCTTCTGTCTACAAAAGGCAGCTCTCTCCCCAGCTCTCAGCCTAAGAGGACCGCCGAGGAGAGAAAGTGAGGACCGATGATCCTGTGATGTCAGGGCATGAGGCTCTGAAACCTCCTTCCATGTTCTGCAGGCTCAGCAGGACCTAGTTTACTATAGGGTGGGGGTTGGGGGGGGTGATAAAATCTGCATCGTCCTTGAGAGAATAAAGTGTTGCAGTGTTAAAAAGCAGTCTCTGCTGCCTCTGAAGGACTGCCACAGGATCTGTTTGGTGCCTCGGAATGGCGTAAAGCCATCACTTTTTTTTTTGGTTCTTTAAGCAGTGATACATACTGTGTGCTGTGTCTCTCAAGTGCAGAGACTGGCTGAGTCTAGACCTTTGCTTTGCACTAAGAAGTGACCCTCTGATCCTTATTGTGGTTACTGGTAGTGAAAGACAGTGACAGCTGTCTCTTAGCCATGCTGTGTATTCTTTTTTTCCCAGATAAATTTGTTTTGTTTTTATCTTGACTCTGAAAAAAGAGATTCCAGGACAGAAATTTTGAAGACATTGTGGTGGTATAACTGAGCAATGTAATTCTTTTGTTTCCCTTAGAGGTATCTGTTACAGTGAGTTATGGGATTCTGCTTGACTCCACCGGGACAGTCCTGTTGTAGGAAATAGTAGGGTTTATGGTTCATAGTTTCACTGCAGGCAGAAGAAAATCATCACTACGGCTCCCTGCAAAAACAAGAACTGGTTTAAACTGGATCATAAGAACATGGCACACATTTGTTTCCTAGGCGTGTTTTTTTCTTTTTATTCTGAGATCCACAGTTTGAGGTATATGGTGTTTGTATCATTTTTCAAACAGGCTAATTGATTTTTCCCAAGCTCCAAAAGTAGAAGCTGAAACTGGAACCCACAAGGAGCAATGAAAAGAAAGTCAGTTTTGTAATCTCTCAGACTTTTTTGGATTCCAGCTTTGCTGTTTACTGACATGACCACATCATTTAAGCCTCCATTTCCTCAAGTGTAAATGCGGGTATTTATTTCATAGGGCTCAGTGAGTGTTAAATAATGTGATAAGTAAAGTATGGAGCACAATGCCTGGCACTCAGTAGACACTCGCAAGCAGTTTCCTCTCTTCAGCATAGCATGTTAGAAGGTGAAACAAGAACAACATACTATGCTAAGAGCAAAAATGTGTAACTTAGTGAGCTTGGGGCGGGGAGTGGGGGTTGGTTCCATGAGCACAGTAGATGCTCAGTAAGGTTCTTTGATTCGGTTTGCTGTTAACGTACCAGACAACCTAGAATGCCATCATACATTCTTACTATCCAGATAGGCTATTCATTTGCTCTCATTCTGGACTTCCAAATGAAATGAATGGTCAGTGGAGGCCCTTGTGAGGATGCTAGAGGAAAAAGCCTCATTGATAGGGTTGTTTTGATTTCCATTGTTCCCATAGCCTGGCCTCAAGCTGCCCATGGGTTAGTCTCATGCATCAAACTTATTTAGGGCCAGGAAGGGAAGAGGTGAGGCAAAACCTGGAAAGCATTGCTTGGCCAAGTGTGGGCTACTGGCTGATGCTGGGGTGGCTCACACCTAGCCCACATGGCTTTTTGCTGTTGTGCTGTTAACCTTGCTCAAAGCCTGTGAAGAAATCACATTCCTTCCTGGGCTTCAGTTGGTAGGTCTTAACCTTGTAGGTGTAGGTATATTGAAAATGTCTTTCTAAAGTATGCATATACTCCTAGATATGTGTGCCACCCCACCCTTGCCCCTCATTGGGCTACATGGCTCCTAGAAATCTAGAAAGTCAGAAGTGGAAGGACCCTCCCCAGCTGGAGGTGTGTCCAGGTAGCTCAGGAAGTAAACTTACTTGTAGGATGTGGTAATCAGGGCGCACATCCATCATATTGTTTCCTCGTCACTCCCTGGCACTGCTGTACCATTGACTAAGGAGGGTTTCAGTTATTCAATATGTTAGAAATGAAAATTTCCAAACAGGTCACTTAGATTTTGTAAGATAGACTAATTATAACATACAGTTAGTGAGGCTGAGTAGTGCCTGAGATGCTTATCTGCTAACGCCGAGAGAGAGATACAGTGTCTGCTGAATAAATGTATTGTAAGGCCACTGTTGTGATGTTTAATTATTGATATTTTATTGGTATTAAAACATTCTGGTTAGGATGAATGACAGGCAGGTGACATGGGCCCAGGCCTGTCATGAGGTTAGCAACACAGCATTTCACACTTGCTTAAAATCCACACTGGAAATAATCAGGCATATTTTATTGCTTTAAGGATAGTGGCTTTGTTTTTTTCTGGGAATGGGGTTGGCCCACCCTTCTGGATGGCGAGAATGATGAGTCTTGCACACAACTCTGTTCCGGAGGGCAAACAAGGAACTGTAGACTCCCTAACCCAGTGGAAGGGAGCCTTGCTTTTCCAGGTGGAGGAAATTAGCTCACAGCAGTATGTTAAACCCTTCCAGTTCTGGTGAGAAAAACCTGTGGGTGCTTGTGTTTATTTATTATTGCTGAAAATGCAACTGATTAGGACTTAAATGGCCCCTTTGTCTTGGTGCTGTGTGCTCTGGGCTGTGATCTAAACTTGACTGGGCTTTCGGTTTGGTGGTTGTACCTTGAGTGAACAGCTTATCTTTCCTGTATAGGGCCCATGTTTTCAAAAGGGAGACTCTAGAACAACTCTAAAACTTGGAATGTGTTGCTCTCCTCCTGTCTGGAAACTTGGTTTATGTGTCGTTTCAACACCTAGCATACTCCGTGGCTGCAGGAGGGGAGGCAGGAGAGTTTTCTCTAGTGGCTTTCCAGAGTAGTGTCTGAGCGTCGTTAGAAGCAGGCATCTCGTTAGCTAATACATTACACCAATCAAGGAGAGTTATCTTAAGCCACAATTAATCTGCTCCCTGGCATATGGTGATAGGAAAGCATCATGCTGTTTCTTAATTAAAAGCAAACGGATTAAAAATGATTAATAAGAGTATTAAATATTCTCCTAAACTAAAGGCTTTGGGATTCTGGGGTAAATCTAGGTTTTGTTTTGTTTTTTTCCTATTCCGAAACCCAAGAAGCATTCATTATTTTATTTTTTCCTCCCCTGAAATCCTTCTCAGTAGGGAGCACGTATGGAGGTCCTCAAGCATCTGGTCAGAAGTCTAAATTACCAGTAATGGAGGAAATGGCAGTGTAGGGTTCAAGTGGCAGTGGCTGTTAGTAGGGCCGTGCATCCATCCACATGTGGGGTGTGCAGCAAGCTGGGACAGACGCAAGAGTTCAACCAGCCATCTTATAGGGAAAGCTTTGCTACCTCCTCCCACCTCCATTCATAGGGAGATGTGGTGCCACCTTTTCCTTAGAAACAAAACACTTCCTGCCTTTTAGCTTTAGAGATGCCATTAGTCCTGCGCGAAGGCGCAGAGCAGTGGAAAGGCTTGCACTGTCTTGGCCACACCACCCTAACTAGAGGTCTGATTTTTTTAAATCAGTGATTAAAACAGAGACCGGCAAATCTGGGGCCAGAAAAAGAAATAGACAAGAGCTAGAAAGGGTGCATTGCTGATCTTAATCTTGGGGCTGTTCTCAAATGTGAAGGACGCCTCAAGGATTTTTAGGAATGTGGAAATCAGTGAAATGACATATAATAACCAGTCACATCCCAGCTAACTTGCCAGTTGAGTTAGAGATGGGAAAGTGAGGGTCTGAAAGAAACCATTATTTTTTAAAGGCATGAAATAGAAAGTCAGAAAACAGCCCAACGCTCAGTTCCTTATTGCTTGATACCTCTTGAAGACTGTGATGAAAACGTTTCCTCTGTGCCTTTGCAAGCCCTGTAGTTACAGCTATAGCTTTTGCACTATTGCTCATATACAGGTTTCATGTAGCCACATCTCAAGCTTCAAAGCCTCTGAGAGTCCCTAATGCACCCACCTATTAAATTACAGCACCAAACTCATTGTCATTCTGACTTTGACTTCGTTAGTGATAACAGAGAAGGATAGCATACCTTTAAAGGACGAGCTTTGTGTTTAATTACCCAAACAAAATGACATAAATATGAATGAGCCCTAATGGTGGTACTTGGTTTTCTGGAAACCATTAACAAAACGATTCCTAAATGATTTGTAAAGAAAATGAGAGGAGAAGAGAGCAAGGAGAAGGCTATTAGGCTTCTAACACACTCCTGAATTATTATGTAGTCAACTACCTAGGAAATACTCAGCTAAATGATCTTGAAAAAAGGAGGCGAGAGGTGGTTTGTTGAGACTTTCAGGGTTATAGACATCTTGACCCTTTTGAATACTCTCATAGATAATAAAATGGGGGTTAGGTTTCTGACTTGGTGGCTCTACCCTGGTGGCAAGACTTCCTCACATCAATCCCTTCTAGGTGCCTTGCTGAAAGACAGCAGGCCATATATTTCAGAAGACTTCTACAGCTGATGGGCTGAGGCCGTCCAGGAAACTCGAGGCAGCTCATCCACCACGCCTGGCTGGAACTATAGACTTACACCTTAGGAATTGTGTCTCAGTTCCTTGGGAAATATACCTTTCATTTCAGAAACGCCAAATAAACACCCCTTTACCCCCAGTCAGCACTTTACTAAATAATTTGGGCTTTTAACTTTCTCTCAGATCTGTCCAGTTACTGAATTCTTTTAGCCTCTGTAAAATAGGGAGACATCTAGAGTCTAATAGTACCCAAGTAAGAGTGTGAGCATTGATGCCCTCTGGAGAGCCCAAGAGAATGCTTTGAATTTGCATCTTGTATCAAAAGAAGGAGAGGGGGAATAAGTACTCTCCTGTCTTGGGGCTTGTTTCCTCTTTCTACTATTTCTGCCAACAGTAAAGGAGAATCCTGAACAACTTTTGTACAGTGAGCAAGCTTTTGGAGTGAACTTTCCAGTTGCTGAACAATCTGGGTGTCCAGGGCTGGCCTGTGCCCTGGTGTTTGACCATGAGTCATCTTTTTGCAGGCCTATGTTTGGGACAATAATAAAGAGCTGGTGGAATGGTTGGAGAAACAGCTGACAGAGGAAGATGGTGTTCGCTCAGTGATAGAGGAAAACATCAAGTATATCAGCAGAGACTATGTCCTCAAGCAGATCCGCAGGTAAGACCAGCAGAGTGGGCGAACCCCTCGATAGGAGAAGTGGGGTTAACTTCTTTGGGACAAAAAGTTTAAGAACCAGGAGATGATGATGCCTTGGAAACTTTGTGCTCTGTTTCTGTTTGAGACTGATGTAGTTGACCCTCAGATGAAAATACAGCCCCGAAACACAATTACTTCTCAGTTGCTGGTCCCCAGGGGCTCTTAGTAATCTTGGCTACATGAAGGCTGGGTTCATTGTACCCACCTGTTAGTTCAAAGTACAGATACTCTAACTGGATGAATGATTCTGTGAGGAGGGGAGGGCGGTAGTTCTGGGACACTAGCTCCCACCCTCCCAGGCAAGTGTCAGCTGTGTTCCTCTAGAGTCTTCTCTCCAGTCTTCTTTAACTTTTTATTTGGAAACATTTCACTTACAGAGAAGTTGGCAAAAATAAAAACAGTTCAAAGAACACCCCCTGTATATCCATATCCAGATTTACCTGTTTACATATTTTGCTCCATTTGCTTTATCATTTGTGAGTGTGCTCTCATATATATTACTTTTTCCTTTTTCTGAAACATTTAAGGGTAAGTTATATGTATCATGGCCCTTCCCCTCTAAATGCATCAGTGTGTATTTGCTAAGGCTAGGAATATTCTCTTACATAACCACAATAAAATTAGCAACTTTAGTAAATTTAACATCGATACAAACTTTTATCTAATCTACCATTTGCATCCCAGTGTTGTCAGTTAACTCAATAATATCCTTTTACCCCCTTCAGTAAAGGTTCCTCTGAGGTCAAATATTGTGTTTAGTTGTCCTGTCTCTTTAGCTTTCTCTAATCTGGAACATTTCGACAGCCTTCCTTTGTCTTTTATGAATTGCCATTTTTATACAGTCTCCTACCACTCCTATACTTTTTTAATAGAACATTCTTCCTTTCTCAGGATTAGCTTCAGGTTATGCATTCCCAGTTAGAATTACATTAACTGATGTGTCTCTTCTCAGGGTTATCACATCTGAGGGCAAATAATGTTCATCTGCCCCTCATGATGTTAATTTCAATCACCTGGTCAAGATTGTGTCTGTATAATTACTGTTTTTCCTCCTGCACCTAATGAACAGTCTGTGGGGAGACACTTCAGAGTCCCTGGGTGGCGCAAACAGTTACGCATTCAGCTACTAATTGAACGGCTGGTGGTTTGAATCCACCCAGAGGCACCTAGGAAGAAAGGCATGGTGATCTACTTCTGAAAGATCACAGCCACTGGAAACTCATGGAGCATAGTTACTTTGCAACACATGGGGTTGCTGTGAGTCAGAATCATCTCTACAGCAGCTAGTTTGGTTTCTTTCTTCTGGCGGGGCTGGGGGTGAGGGTGCGTGGAGACACTTTAAAACCATGCAAATATCACCCTGGATTTAGCATCCATTGATGATCCTTTTTTTGGACCATACCTGTTCAGGGTATGATGGGTCACGTTTTCCAGTGATGATTCTTGCCTGATCAGTCTTGACAGTGATGACTGCAAAGTGACTTTCAAACTCTAGCACTCCCTCCAGTTCCTAGTCACCATCAAATTCTACTGTAAGTGAAGGCCTCCCTTCTCCCCCATTCATTTATATATTTATTGATACAGATGAATGAATTTCTGTTTTTTCAATAATTTATAATTCATTATTATTCCTTATTATTTTGATGTCCAAATTGTCACAGGTTCGGTCAGTGGGAGCCCTTTTAAGCTGGCTCCTGTGTCTTTGTCACATGTACCCACTGTTTTGTTGTTACAGTTCATCCTGCTTTCTAGCATAGCAAGATGTTTCGAGTTTATCTTGTACCTGCTTTGATGCTGGGGATGTTTTTAACGTAGGCATACAACTCAGATGAGATGGTCACTAAAGCACCTGCAGTGGACTATGTTAGCATGTTTATTGGGCAATAATTCTTAAGCTTAGCTGATCTAGACACTTCTTCCTCTCCAGCTTGGTACAGGCCAACCCAGAGGTTGCCATGGATTCCATTGTCCACATGACTCAACACATCTCACCCACTCAGCGAGCAGAAGTCATACGGATCCTTTCCACGATGGACTCCCCTTCAACGTAGGAAGAGCCTCCTGTCCCCTCCCTGCCCTGCCTCCTGAGAAATGGCCAGAGCTGCCTTTTACCACTGAAACCAATGTAATGAGAAGGCACAGGAGACCCACCTCTGGAATCAAAGTGGCATTTTGCATCCCCTTGAATGTGTTCAGGTTATGCATGACATATACTGGGCTATGAGATCACTCCCGCTCACTGGTCACACCTATCCCATTCAGTATTTATTACCCTGGCTGTAGTTATCACCCTGTCTACCCTCACAGGACCTGAGAAGACAATGAAGGGTACAAGCACGTACCGTGAGGTCTTACTGCACAAAAGCAGGCTGCCCGTCCTCTCCTGACAGCCCTTGGTCCCATCATGGGGAAGTGAGAGGAGTTGCCAGGCAGTCAGCAGCCCTGCCTCACCCCAGCTCCATGAGCCTGCAGCTCCAGGCAAACAGAGGAGGGCTGGGGCTGAGGTGACCGCCCAGCACAGTGCTGAGGAGCAGAGGAAGCCTCATGTCAGTTGTTTCTTTAGCCCCACATTCAGCCCAGCACACTAGACACTGGCAAGGAGTCACTCCCAGTTAAACCACACTGAGATACTGGTTCATTAGGAAGGAATTAGAGCATGAAATTTACCACAAGCTCCACAGGAACTCAAAGATGAGGGTAAAACCATGATCCAAGAAGCAGAAGGAAGAAAATAAACCCAAGTCGTCATTCTTGACTGAGAGGACCTCAACCTTGGGTTAAATTCTCTTAGATGGAATGGTGGTTGACCTGCCACTGGCCTGGACATCACTGCTTGACTGGCTGTTGCACCTGGCAGGCAGCCGCCAGACCAGCACCTGAGAGGCCCCAGCCCTTTGCCAGGGGCCCCACAAGCACTGCTATAGCCTGAGTTGGTGGGGAGAGTCAAATGGAATTGCCCTGTACTGTTGCTGGTGGAAACTAGTTATTCATACCACAGGGAGAGCAGGCCAGATAGCCTCTTTCTGGGACTTGGAAGATTGTTACAAGAGGCTCATGGTGTCTACAGAGTCACTCATCTTTCTCTACAAGGCAAGTGTGACCAACTCTCTGAGCAGCTGACATTCCTGCCCTGTTTGGTCTTGTCTCTTCCCCAGACTGTACACAGCCAAGAGGTGCAGCAGGTCTCCCTGCAGCTGCTGAAAGGAACCCTGGTGACATCCCGCCCTCCCCGGTGTGGGGACGCGTCCGAGGACCCACACGACTTTAAGAATATCTACAACTCAGTAATGGTGCTGTGGTCTTCCAGGCTTACTGCTCCCTTTCTGGCCTCCTCAGGGGTAGTGGAGAGAGTTATTTTCAACCACCAGTTCGTTCTAGAAAAGTGCTTACTGGCTCACCCACCTGTATTCCTAAAGCAAGAGTGGCGGGGGGTCAGGGCTGGGGTAGCACCCAGTTCCTGCGGTGCAGCTAACTGCATTTGTCACTGATGACCGCAGAGGGAATCATTAAGACATTAGAATGAAAAGTATGAGTACTTATGTACAAGCTACAGTTTTGAGCCTTAACCCTAGTTCACACACAAGAAAAGAGCTCCACCACCCCTTCAGGAACTGTTTGTGTAGATGGCTTGGCTGGACTTCTCAGCAGTTCTGAATTGCAGGTGGGCACTTTATGTGCAAATGGTTCTGATGACACATGTGGCTGGGTACATCACCAACTGCCCCCAGGAGCTCAGAGCTGCAGCCAGGCTGCCCCCATGGAAGGCGCAGTGTTTGGCACCATCAAAGCAGGGTGGGAAAAACAGGGAACAATTCTCAGTCTAGGAAGTAACACCACTGTTGCTGGTTACTTGCTTACCCAGTAAGAACTGGATGAATCTTAGGTCAGATTATTCCTCTGCATGTTTCTGTAATAAATACAGTGGCACGTCCCTACAGGTGAGCTGAAGTCCTGCACTTCTCAATTGGCCTGTCTTCACCTGTACTTGAGCTGACATTTCTTCAGAGGCAGGATGGGTTATACTCTTTTTACCCCCTCCCCAAATTATGACACATTAAATGAAGACATTTCCTCTCCAACACCCTTTAATGCCTACTCCCCAGCCTTCCCAACTTTAGGTCTTACCCTGGACAGGGATTTTTCACAGGGAGAAGTCAGAAAGCACCAGAGAACAGGAGCAATCTGATAGTCCTACAGCCCATTACACATGCAAGGTTACTGAGGCAGGAGGAGTGTAAATGATGTATTGACCAAGACTCGCCCGAACTGAGATTGCCATATTATCTCTTCACTTGTTCACAAAGCAGCCTTCAACTTGTCTCGGTGAGAATTCGATGGACACAGACCCTGATGAGCAAGGAGCTTCAGTCAGGTGCACTTTTTTCACATTTTGTTGAAATAAACCTCCACATTTGTAGAAGAGTCACTGTTTGTCATTTCAGCCCATGCTCAGCCACCTCATCCATTCCACTCTCAGCAGGAGAGTAGGGGCACAGTGGTGGGTGAGCCCCGTCATGGCCCTGCACCATGTTCCTACCCTTTGTCTCTTGAACTCACATAAGAATGAGCAGGGGAAGGTGGTAAAAAGCTGGCCTCGGCCAGCCATGGCTTACTGGCTGAACTGAGGTAAAAATGCCACAAGGCTGTCAATACTCTGGAACTCCACAGCTGAGAGTCATTTCTGTTGTTTTTCCGAGATTGGGTTTAGGGCAGGCGCGAGAAAGGCCACAAGGAAGAAGGAACGTGGCTCACCAGTAGCATGTGCTGAGCAGGAAAGCCACCTGAAAACCTTTGAAGCCCCGAGTCGGTTCTCTCTCAGAAGTCTCCTTCCCAGCAGGCAGTACACTGAGAAGGTTCTAATATGCTCAGTAATTAACACTGGGACCAAATGGCATTAGATATTAGAGATTTTATGGAAAGGTTTTAGATTCTCTTCATCATTAACTAGCTATTAATGCTTTTTGAAGTCAGACCTTGGGCACAGGAAGGCACTAGGGCAAGAGACAGGACTGTGTGCCTTTAACCTCTACCTCAGTTTCCCTGAAAAGGCACTCTATGAACCCGCATGGTTGAGGCACGAACAAACCCCAATCCCTAAAGATCCACAGAGAAAGGTGCAGGCCACAAGGAAGTCAGGAAGGGAATTACTGGCCTTTGCTGATTGCTGAAACTCAGTGCTACGTCCATCTCCCTCTTTGGAATATGTGGTAAAGCAAAGGGTGACTTTTTCTAAAACGAAATAAAATGTTACATTAAAAAAAATATTTGAATCACTCTTAAACCAGATGTAACAGGAAGGGTGATTCAGGATCCAGTGGGGAGATTGCTGCTGTTTGCCTGCAGCTGCCACGCTCTATGAGCAGGGAATCCTGGTCAGCGTTGAGGCCCTCCACTCGGCAGGCAGACAAGAACAAGATCGCATGGCACGGACCCTAAGCGTCCGCAGTCTCAGCCAGCACCTGTTGGTGGTTCTGAGGAAGGGCAGCAAGATTAATGGAAAAAGTGATGATACTGCCTTTTCTTGTGGGAAGTTGCCTGATACTTATAGTGTTTTCTTCTGGGGAGTCACATTTCCTTCCCCAGTCTTTAATTAAAAAAAAAAAAAATTTAAACCCCCACTGGTATACTTTGGGATAACAGGAAAAGACTGAACAGCAAGGGTTCTGTGATCTAGACCTGGCCCACCTTCCCTAACTCAAAACAAGAACATGGTGATGGGCACAAATGCTCGATGTCCATCACAGGGAGGAGCTTGCCTGCGCTCCTGATGTGCAAGGCTCACTGCCAGGCTTTGATGATAGGCCTTGGGAGGAGCTGAGCTGGGGAGGCAAACCTTCATTCAAATGCGTGGTTGCTCAGGGTCTGGGCACAAAAAGGGTAAAGCCTGGGCCTGACCTGATCACACTGAGGCAGAGAGCACTAAGGGCCAAGTGAGTGGTAAACACAGTTAAGGGCCTTTTGGCAGAGAGGTGGTTTCCTGTTGGGAGAGTAAGGCAAGATGTCCCAGGCCAGGGCAGTGGCATTTGCAAAGTTACTCAAGTCACCCTGGGAATGTTGGGTGAGAGCAGAGCTGTCATTTGCTGGAGTGGTGAACAGTGAAACCTAAAAAGCAAGCAGGTGTCAGGTCATGAAGAGTCTTAAACGCCAAGCCAAGGTGCAGGGGTGTGTCCTGAGGAGAGTGGGTGGGACGCCTGCGATGGTTTTGTGAACATGGGAAGGCTGTGTATAGAGGTTCAGAAAACAGCCTGGTTCAAAGAAAAGAGCATGGCCTTGGGCACCAAGAAATCTTTGTCCAGGCTCAGCTCCATCATGTGTGTAGCCCCCAAGCTGGAGGAGTCACCTGGTATAGTAGACCCAGGCTACCCACAGAGGGTATAGAAATAATGGGTCAGCTAGTCTCAGTACTCTAAAAATCCTGCCTGTGCCTCAGTCAGGTGTCAAAGGCTTGCCACGCCGTTGTCTTTCTGTTGGCTGGGGTTTTGTCAACCCGGGAAGGTAGCACTGGCCACCTTATGCTCACCAGAGGCTCAAATGGACAGTTGTTAATAATAAATGAGAATAGGATGTCTTCATAAATGTATTATTTCATCAAGCAAAATTTTCCACAACATGGGATTCCCTGTGGTTAATTAAGGGACAGAATGATAACAGAGGCTCAGCCCTGAGAGGGCTGGCAACCATCCACTGGGCCCAGCCCACTAGGAACTGCAGGGGGATGGGATAGACTAAAGCTCAGAAAGGTTAACTGATGGGCCTCATCCAAAAATTCTGATTCTGTGATTGGCCTTCTAGAGTGAATAGGAAGGGTTGAGGAGAGAGAAACCACTATAAAAGTCCAGGCCCCAGATTAGGGAAAAGCTAATAGAATTCTTGTCCATACTAATTAGTACTTTAGTATCTACTTAAAAGAGCACAGACTTTGGAATAAGCCTGAACTGGGTTCAAACATATACTCCTCATATACTACTGTTGTCTTTGGGCAAGTTCCTGACTTCCTTGTTTGTGAAATGTGTATAATAATAAGCACCTCAGTGGGGCTTTTTGAAAATTATCTTAAGCTAGTTAACAAGAACCAAGTGCTGGGCTTTAGTAACAAATTCTCAGATGTAGGTTTCTCTGTGCCCTGCCGCTTACATATGTTCTCAAGATCAGGGATCTTTCATCACTCAGTAGTACTTTCCTTGTAGGGTGTTGTCACAGAACCATTCCCTTGGTGAGGGTAGTATCTAGAAAAGATGATCTCTAGGCATGCTGCTCCATGGACACTAGGAGTGTCACTGAGGGGCAATGCAGCTGCGTCAGAAGGCTGAGCTCCAAGCATGGCCGCCCTCACAGTCGGGCCTTGAGCAGCCCAAGGGCCTTCTGGAGTCTTCGTTCCCTTGGAATATAAAATGAGAGGACAGGATGAGACAATCCCTAAAACAGATCTCTTTCAGCTCTAAAAAGATTCTAATCTGGGATAATGGATGAATTGAAGTTTGGATTAAAAATCTTCTGATTTAGGATTTAGGGGGGACTTCCAATATAGTGGAAGCCCTGGTTATAGTGGTTAAGAGCTATGGCTGCTAACCTAAAGGTTGGCAGTTCGAATCCACCAGGTGCTCCTTGGAAACCTTATGGGGCAGTTCTGTTCTGTCCTATAGGGTCGTTATGAGTCAGAATCAACGGCAATGGGTTTGGTTCCAATACGGTAAAGAAACCCTGGTGGCGCAGTGGTTAAGCACTCAGCTGCGAACCAAAAGTGTGGTGGTTTGAACCTACCAGCCGCTCCATGGGAGAAAGATCTAACAGTCTACTTCTGTAAAATTTATAGCTTTGGAAAGTCTATGGGGCAGTTCTACTCTGTCCTATAGGGTTGCTATAAATTGGAATCAACTCAACAGCAATAGGTTTGGTTTGGGTTCTCCCCCCGCCCCCCACAATATGATGGAATGAATAGCAAACCCTCTACCAAAAAGCAGTGATAGAACTGGACAAAAAGCATTTCTAGTCTCTGGAAATCAACCAGTCATACACCAAATTGAGAAGCAGCTACTCATTAAAAACTAGTGAACTTTGGGTAAGAACACTGAAAGTCTGTAATGGTCTTACCTAGGGCTGCTCCCATCCCCCAATCTAGCTTGAATTTTCACAGTTTTACGGAGTGGCTAACCAAAGGTCAGCAGTTTGAATCCAGCAGCTGCTCCTTGGAAACCCTATGGGACAGTTCTACTCTGTCCTTACAGGGTTGCTATGAGTCGCAATGGACCCAAAGGCAACATGTTTGGTTTTTTTTGGACTAGGGCAGAGCAAGCCCTGAAAACCTGCATGTTTGCTGCTGGAGGGGGCTACTTGGAAAAAATCCATTGTTACTAACAATAGTGATTTCAGTAGCAAACAAACAGGGAAGACCAGTTAGCCTAAGGTTGTATTCCTGGTTGACTCAAACAACAGACCAGCAGGCTGGACAGAAATTTAACAGAGACTGGAAATGAGGCAGCCACAGAAGACCTTAATAAGCTTGTCCACACATCCACAGGGGACAGCTCAGAGAGAGTCAAGATATCCACATATCCCTAGCTGATGATAAACCTGTGAGCAAGATACGAGAGGGCCCAGGAGAAAGTAAAAGCCAGGGCAGAGTTTAAAAGTGCCTAAATTTTGAATATGCTCCCCAACACACATACACACAGATCTGTCAGCAGAGGGTAGAAGCCTTACTAGCTCAGGTATTCGAGCACAACAGCTTCCCAAATCATTGGCTGACTACTAGATGATGCAAGTTCAAGGGTGACTCCTAGAAGGCTAGGCTTAAAGAGCAGAATTAAAAAAAAAAAAAAAAAAAAAAACTGAACAGAGACATCAGTGTCTGCACACTGCAGGGGAAACAGATTCCATAGATTTAGTCCAGTCAAGTTACTAAGCAAACCAAAAATATGCGACAACAAGAAACTTCAGGGGAAAAAATCAGGATCTATAATTGTACAATATAAAGTCCAGTTTTCAACAAAAAAATTTGTGAGACAAACAGAAATGTATAACTTAGGGAAAAAAAGTCAAAAATTTTCTGAGTCCTGATATTGAATTTAGCAGAGAAGGACTTCAAATCAGCTATTATAAATACGTTCAAAGAACTAAAAGAAACCATGTTTAAAGACTTAAAGTATGATGACAATGACTTAAGAAGAGAATCTCAGCCAAAAAAATAGAATTTTTTTTAAAAAGAAGGAAATTCTGGGGTTGAAAAGTACAATTACTGAAACGAAAATTTCACTAGAGGGACTAAACAGTAGATTTGAGATAGCAGAAGAATCATAAACTTGAGATACAGTGATTGAAATTATCCAATCTGTAGAAGAGAGAGAAGAATGAAAAATGAACAGAGCTTCAGAGACCTGTGTAACAATATCAGGCATACCAGTATACCATATTTTTACGCAAATAACACGCGCCTTCTATGTTTGTTTGCCAACCGCCCTCCCTCCCATGAGGTATTTTCATAAGCGTGCTAACCTAATTTTTTTTTTACAGCAACATGTAAAAAAAAATGGCGTAGTGGTGCTTATGATGAAAATACCTCACAGGGGAGGACGCAGTTGGCAAACAAACATAGGAGGTGCACGTTATTTGCGTAAAAATATGGTATGTGTAGTAGGAGTCCTGGAAGGAGAGAAGAGAAAGGGGCGGACAAAGTATTTGAAGAAATAATGACCAAAAACTTCCCCAGTTTGACAGGAAACAATCTGCAGATATAACAGTTCAATAAACCCCAAGTAGGATAAACACAATGATCTACAGACACTTCACAGCCAAAATGTTGAAAGATAAAGAGAAAATCTTAAAAGCAGCAAGATAAAAAAACAACTTATCACAAAAAGAGGAAAAACAAGTATCAGCTGACTTTCTTCAGAAACAATGAAAGCCAGAAGGCAGTAGGCTGATATATTCAAAATGCTGCAAGAAAACAAACAACAACAACAAAAACCTGTCAACCAAGAATCCTTTATCCATAAGGAATCACTGGGTGGCAAAAACCGTTAAACTCTTGACTACTAGCTGAAAGGTTGGCAGTTCAAACCCACCCAGAGGCACCTCGGAAGACAAGGCTGGCATCCGCTTCTCAAAGGTAACAGCCTTGACAACCCTACAGAGCAGTTCTACTCAGCACACGTGGCTTTGCCATGAGTCAGAATCAACTCAATGGCAACTAACAACAACAAAAGCCTTAATACAAAATTGATAGAGAAAACAAGTATAAATTCACTGACACACTATCAACCTAAAAACCTACCAGATCCTGTAGGGTTGCTATGAGTCAGAATCAACTCGATGGCAATGGGTTTTGGGTTTTTATATCAAGAAAAACTATCCTGAAAACAAATGAAGGTGAAATAAAGATATTCCCAGAAATAGGACTGAGAGAATTAACTGCCAATAGATCTGCCTTACAAGAAATATTGAAGGCAGTCACTCAGGCTAAAAAGAAATAATCCAAGATGATAAATCTACACAAAGAAATGAAGAGTACTGGAAAAGGTAATTGTATGGGTAAATATAAAAGACTGTGTGTGTGTATTCAACTTCTTTAAAAGACATAAGATTGCATAGAACAATAATT